ATGACGTAGTGGCGAAGATGACGCATGTGAGCGAGGATGTCGTTGGGACGATGACTACTCTCGTCGGACGATTCCTAGATAGTCAGTGAAGTACAGATTGTGGACAAGGATCAACAGTGGTGTCTGTTTACAGAGCTTAGTTCAGGAAACGGGTCAACGGGATGAGCAGGAGACGAGGGTGGGGCCAACTTAGTGAGAAGCTGTAATACAAGAACGTGTTTTCGTCACGAGGGTATCTTCGTGGATGCTAGTGCTGGACTTTCCATTAGGATGGAGGGAATGAAGAGGAGCGTTGGGTCTGGGGTCATTGAACGAGCATAGTGTGTTTGTTTTGCGAGGGGCGATGCAAGAATAGGAGATGCCACTGTCGGATATTGGGGAGCGTGGATTTGCTTGGGAGGTGGATATAGGGCGAAAGACGAGGACTGAAACGCTGCGCGCTATCGAGTGAAATGACCCCTTGTTTACCCCACAGGAATTCTTGCTACAATGCCTTCGACGCAGAACGAAATTTCTAAGACTTTTGAGCCTGTTTTAACACTTGCAAGGTAAAAAGTGTTTCCCAGCAAACCGATGAAAGAAGTGATTTAATCGTTTATAGAGTTTATTCATTTCTTCTAAAATCACTTACGTATTTATTGACGTTATGCGAATGTCTACTTACATTCGTAAAGCATACCTTCACCTGCTATTTCACATCACCTGTTGAAATAGACACATTAGCACATTTTTATGTTCGATGATGTAATGTTCAATTTTTTTATTCCATCAAAGTTTCAACAAAATGACGTATCCCGTAAACTGGTCAAAAAATCTTATTAGAATTCAGGTAATATTATTATGATTCAATACCTTTGTAAGACTGTATTTCGTCAAAGAATTGTTACATTTTGCGATATACCTCAGTGGCAGCGACTTTTCTACTAACTTTTCGAATTGAAGTTTGTAATTGTTTTCGTAATGTTTTTATGAAGAGATTACATTATGTGTACTAACATTACATATATGACTCTTAGATGTAATGTCACCCAATCCATAATTTGAAATTCGTTCTTTAATGAAACTTATTACCATCTTATTTCATAACTCATTATATTCGAGATTAATTATAATAACCTAAATATTCTATTAAACTTTGTAATCACAATTGTCTTTATTTTCAACATAACGCATGCACCATTTTCCGATTATTCTACAATAGCTAATTAATTAAAGATTCCTTCCATATACATAAGGACATTTCATTGTGTTCGACTAATTTATGCTGAACGTTAAACTTGTCATGTTTGCTCAGATTTTGTCCTATGAAATTTAAACACATTTCGATTAGTGATGCGATGAACTCTCGGTAAATGCACACAAACAAACCCGGTGCGCCTTCTGAATGAAAATAAGAACATTTTTCCTATTATGAAACCGTAGAAATGGAGTTTATCTACTTTCAAATCATACTATGGAATCTCGAAATGTAATATAAACTAGTCTGTAACATAATTTCAGGCAAATAATATTTACTGATTGATTAACCCTTTTACTTTCTTTCTAGTATACAATTACATAGTTTTAGGTCTAAAAGAGAAATTTTAAAACTAATCTCGCAGTCCATCACATTCCCGAACCCAATTCATAGTGTAGAAAAGCTATTAGAAAATGTTTAGTCTTTGTTTTCTCTGTTTTGAATAGAACACCGTTCACGCAAGTTAAACTCATCGGAGGCTGAAACTATGTGCTAGAGGGCGATTTTTCTCATTATGTTTTCGAAGGACGCTAACCTATATTTTTTAAATCAAAGAAGCGTAAATACTCTGCTTTTACGACGTGATAAATAAATAATTCTACGTTATTTTCAGAATCTTCATCCACGAGAGTACTTGAAAGAGCCGAAATTGAACATATGTTCAAATCATTTTCTACTCTCGAAAATCTTTTCTACATTTTTTCTTGCCAAAATACTCTGTTAATTTGACAAGATTGAAAATGATAAATAGAAACACGATTTGAAAATGATGAATTTTGAAAATAGAGATGAGTCGAGGTTGACAATTTGATATTGAGATGAAACTATGGATGTCATGAAAGTCCTTAAAACTTTATTTTGGCCATGATGAAGTCTATAATTTCACCTGATCTGATTAAAGGATCTCCACACCTTTCTGCCTCACACCTACGAAATAGTAAAAAAGAAATTACCAATCTAGTCTCGCCTTCTAACGCACTCACTAAGGCAAATCGTCGAGGAGAAAAGCTACAAGAAAATTTTATGCCTTTGCTTTCGCTTTGCAAATCGGCGTTTACATGCGTTAGCCGCGGTGAGCGCTGGGTCTCTGCGAGAAGTTGGCTCGGCTGGTGGAGTGCGGCTTTTCTCTTTATGTTTCCGCGAGGTCGGGAGGCTGGAGGGGCTGTGGCAGTGTCCGTGCCGCCCTTCGGCCCGGCCCGTTGGCTCGCCGCCACGTCCATTACCCTCGTAAACGGCCAGACGTGTCGGCTCGCTCATTACCCCACTCCAGACGACGGGGCATGCCTCCGCCCTGCTCCGCTCCGCTCCGCTCCCCTGTGCTCTGCGCCGCGTCCAATGATCTTGGAACGGCCGTGCGTCTGACGTGATCGATATGCGAGATAAATGACGCGTGCGAGAGATCGACGGTCCCATTCGCCAGACGCGCGGGGCCTTCCGAGACGGTTGTCGTCTCTCCAAGGAATCGTTAGGATAATTTGGCGGTCTTTCTGAGAATTTGGTTTATAGGCTAATGTTGAGCGGAAAATGGATTGTTCCCTATGGCTGGATGATGAATTGCACTAATTACCGAGATTGTCTTCTGAAGGCAAAATATTCTGTGAACTTATAAATAGCTCGTTGTGTAAATATAAGAGTTAACATTTTATTTAATTTTGGATAAAAATGTATTTAGGTTATCAAGGTTCTGTGTTAATATTTTTATAACAAACATGTTTTCATGTAGATTTTTTTTGTTATTTAAGGTCGCATCAACTTCTACGTCATTAGAGACCACTATTGCGTGAAAAGGTATGGTAACTGTGAGAATGACACGATATGTTGATGATAGGGGGTGAAAGGACGAACACAATACAACCATGCCCGAGGCGGGACTCGAACCCGCCACCTTCGGTCCGAGATCGCTACGGTTCTACTGCCTTAGCGATCTCGGCCTCCGGATCGGCGTGAAGAAATAATTTTAAGAAGCTTAAATGATAAAAAGATATCTGATGTGCTAACAAAACGCGAGCAAACTTCCTGACACATTACAATTTATACATCCCTGTCATTAACTCACTGCTCTCTCTGCAATTTAACTATTTAGAAAAGAATTCAATATAAGTTAGGCGCCATGGATATATTTTCGTTATGAACTTCACTCTATCTTTTGTCATTTTCCTCTGTCTTCTTCGGTCTCGTAAATGAAGGCGGAGTTTGAGTTTTCTATTAACTTGATTTCTGAGTCGATGTCGGTTGGTTGTAATTTGTACTGCTTTCGTAACTCGTATTTTCTGATGCGGAAAAGAAAGTTCGTGCTTTCGATGTTGTTTGGCCAGCCTAATCACATCTGCATTGAAATTAGTTTAAAAGAACTATATTCGTTTCACGAAACTTTTTTGAGGTACAAATTGTTGTGACATCACGACGAACTGAAGCTTCATGCTAGTTCCTAATCAATGTTTCGTGGTAGTATAATCACTGTTTCCAAAAATAGGATTCAGTGTAGAGGAACTTTGATCTCCGTTTTTTACTTAATATGTATTCAAAAACTTCTGTTATTCAAACTTCTGATACAGTTTATTGCGCTATTTGGCTGTTTTGTATGTAAATTAGAACTACATGGCTATGTTTGGTAACTAAACTACACGTTGTGGTGAATATGAAGATTGCTGCTGCGCACACCTCCTCAGTACCACACATTGCATTCCAGTGATATTTCAATGGTCAACTGTACGCATTTATTAGTGATAAGATTTACATGATAATATGTAATAATCGATCTATGCGTGAGTTTTCATGTCATCTCTTCCCTTGATTTCTTTTTGTTTGTTCTTTGTACTATGTGTGAAGTCTACAATAAGACCAAAACGCATGTGTTCTAACCAACCCATTAAATCAAACCCACGTCAACGAAACCGATAAAAACCTTGGCATGGGTGTGCAAATCAACCAATAGCGCATCGGTCTTTGAAGTGAGTTTGCTTTTTGGTGTGCGCCTAATCGCACGTGAATGCTGTTTTGACGTTGGCCGCGTGCGCTGGCTGTTGGCAGACGGGCGAGCGCGGCTACCTGGAGGGGCTGGCGTCGCGCTACGCCGACCTCTACCGCACGCACTACGGCGACGTGCTCGACCACCTGGAGGAGCTGCGGCGGCGCGAGTGGGCGGAGATGAGCCCGCGCATGCGCGTGCTGGCGCCCGCAGGCTCCCCCGGCGACTTCGCCAACACCACCGCCGGCCCGCAGGTTAGATTTACATTGCATTAGATTAGATTAGATTGATTTAGTCAAAAAAACAGTAAAAACTGTATGTGACGTAGAGAGGAGATCATCATCTGTGCATGTTTTCTTGAGTTCCACAATCCCTTCCCGTCATTTTAACTACATATAGTTGAAAGATGAGTAAAAGTTTAAAATAAATAAAAATAAATTTTAAACAAGAGCGAGATTAGCTATATTTGAAAAAAATATACATTTTTATTATCGAGTAATAGAAAACTTATTTGCATCGGTACACGAATTTCAAGTATGATTTGTTTTGCATTGCTAAAAATATAGTAACTCGCTCTTGCCTGTACTCCTACCATTACAAGCAAAAGAAGAGTTCAACAAAACGTGCGCATAGTGAAGCTACATTTACGTCAAAAAGCAAGACAAGGGGGCATCTCAATATTTGCTCAATGGATCAGGAATAACTGCACAAAAACCTGAACGAGATGGAGGTCATTGACCCGGAAGGTGAAATACATTATTTGTTACAATTATATTGAGTATTTTTAAAACAATTATACAATACGAGTACAAATGTAAACTAATTCAATACATATCACTGTTTTGTTAAAATTAACATTCTATTTCTTTTTGAAAATCAGTTATAGTCTCTATTTGTATAGAAACAGTTATGCAGCAGAAAAGATTCTCGGCGCACGCACTGCTTCACATAACTTCAAAAATCTGAAGAAAAAATAACCTGTGTTTGCTGGAAAGAAGACTAGTGATCTGGCGCCAACGATATACACAATCTGCCATACAACAACGTGATGAGTGTTGTCTCGTCATGGGACAATTCCACCTTCTCTATCAATTATAATTGATCTGAATTAAAAAAATCTGATGTGTTACTTCGACTTCAGATTCGGTTTTAGCGACCCCCAAAACCATATAGGTAACATGGCATGACTGTTCGGTTAGAAATATCCTTCATTTTTTATATGTTTTGAGGTTATGTCAAACTGAAGTGATGGAGTGAAATGGACACTGGATACGGAGTTAGCGACCCCAAAAACATATAGAAAACATGGTCGGATCCCCAGACACGAACACAATTCAGAACACAATCTTCATTATTTTATTACATATAACATTCCAATTTAGATGCTTCCATGAATTTTATCTGCTATGATTTTTCCTAATTATATTTGTATAATTCTTCCAAAATAAATAACCGAATGACATGAATAAGCCATTAATTGCTTTAAATTGTCTAATCTTTGCATCTGCATTACTCAATTTATAATCAAATCGAGCTGAATAAAAAGATTCTATGCCTCCCACGTTGAAAAAAAGATAATTTGCGATTACTTTTCCCACGCGTTTCCAAATTGATGAAAATATGTAGCTGTCATTTTTCAAAACCTTTTGATTAGAAAATCTTTTCGAGTCTAAATTCCTTAATTGAGATTCTTTTTAGAATTTATTTTTTGTTGGTGCACTTTTCGCGTCTAGCGTCACAAATGGACTATGGAAACGACACAGACAGATCGTCAGATAACTTACTAAGTTGATTTGATTATTCTTGTTCCATCTGCGTTGCAAAGCGGGTTCAATTACTGAGGGTTGCATGGGGCGTTTTTGCGTTAGCTTATAATTCGACAGATACAAATTTGGGCGCCACAGGGAGATTTGATCGCTCTTTTTATAGAGAAGCTGCATTCGACGCGGTGCATTTTCCAGAATTGCCCTTTATCCATTTTTTCGTCGAATACATTGGTGCTTTTGATAAACTTAGCACCTTTAAATTCTAGTAGTAAATGGTATCTCTGTTTCTTAAATTAAGTTCTCTTAAGGCAAAATAGGCATGTAATGTAGTTCATAAGTTTCCAAATTATTTTAAAAAAATTACGAACAAGAAGTCTCTTTATCATGCCTAACAAGCAATTGTTCATCGAATATGTACAATAGTTATTTAGATTTACGTTATGCAAATTATGAATTTTTAATTAAAATCTTATTGAACAGTAAGGTAAATAAATACTAAGGAATTCTAAGAAATTTGAGCAGTATCAAATATAGCCAGATGAGCAACAGATACCCCCCCCCCCGATATTCGTAAATATATACCTCGAGTTTGGGAAAATTGTGGCTTATAATTTTATTACCCGTTGTTCATATTTGAAGCACCTGGAGTAACAAGGTGAGATACACTTCAACGAAAATTAATCTCCATGAATAGCGGGGGGCCAGCTGTGGCTAATGACTTCTGTTCCAAGCTCTTCAGTTCATTCTAAGTGAAAAGACCATGCAAAAACTTTCCGAGGTATGAGGAAAGGAAATTCAGAGTGTAATGAGGTTATCAATTAAGCCTGTTTTTCACCTATAACTCCCCCCCTGCCGTGATTTATCTCCGTTATTTCCAATAATCCCGTACGTTAATGCAATAGAGTCGTGATAATGCGAGGAAATTGGGACCGATGGTACCTCGGAAAAAACTACACGAAACTACACGAACAACAAACTACAAAAAACTACACGAAAAATTACACGATAGAAAGAAAAAACCACAACGGAATTTTTAAGTAAAATCTAAAATGAAGACAAATTGATGTGCAGGTACTATTGACGTTACTGCTACATACATACACACGTACATAAAGTTTCAATTTTCCTTTTTCTTGTACTTTAGTAACGCCCTGTGCAATGATAAGCAGATAAGCGTGAAGCGGTCATAACAATGTAGCAGACTGACACTGGCTCCGACACGCACACGTGATCAACGCAGTATGGCCACCCCGTCAAGAGCCACCTCTAGATTATCGCCGCTCATATGCTAGTTTGTGAGACCTGGCGCACATCAGGCTGTTTTCTCGGATTGTCTTTACTCTACTGTATTAAGATACCCCGTCCAATTCCCCACCTCTTCCGTATTTGATTCCGTTTCTTTGCGGTTGTTGCTGAGCGTGTCTTGCGGTGGTGCGCAGGGCGCGGGGCTGACCAGCTCGCAGTCGCAGCCGCTGTACGTGCCGGGCAAGTACTCACCCAGCAGCTGCCTCAGCGACAAGGAGGAGGACGAGATCTACGGCTTCGGCTACGGCGTCTTCGGCCGCCACATCGCGCAGGCGCAGCGCCGCGCGCAGCAGGCGCAACTGCTGCAGCAGGCGCAGACGGCCAGCGCGGCCGGGGGCGGCAGGTGAGCACCATACAAAACCCTAACGTAGTGATGGTAGTGTTCTAGTGGTCCTCTTTAGGGCTGGAGTGCATTTTGCTTTTCCTCTAGTCCTGAAGAAGGCCATTATATGGTGGTCGAAATGTCTGCAATGCATCTTTCGACGTGACCTTCAATAGTGATGGTTGTAGTTGTCTTTTTTGGGGCTGTAGTGCATTCCTGCGTTCCATCTTGCCCAGGAGAAGGCTGCTACATGATGAGTGAAATGGCTGCAATTCAGACTTCGATACTCCCTCATCCGATTGCCAAGAGCATAAATGCGACTGTAATTGTAGAAGCCTTCGAAATCATTTTCATATTGTCTGTTTTATTCTTGACAGTACTCTAATAATAAAGAATTAGCTTAATGAAAAAATTGTAAGGAAACTTAACGTACATATTTGCCATTTAAAGTATTAACTTTTTAAATAATAAATTGTTTACGTAAAATTTATACTTTATCTATATACTCATGAGTAAAAATTGTGAAATAAAATTATTTAATAAAAAACACTACGGAATATTTTTCTCTTCCATCTATTTCTTTGTGTTAAAAGAAAATTGAAAACTAAATTTCATTCATATCCCTTCGATATTATTCGCACAGTTATTCGCACAGCACACTCTCTCGGAATCTTAAATTTATTACATTAACTTTTCCCTAAAGGTAACTTATTTCAGTATGTTACTTGTGCTGCGATGTATTTTAGTTGTTAGGGAATCCAGCCATGCATTTGTCAGTAAAATTGAAAAAATTTGTGTTGTCTGCCCCGTGGCGTGACGTCAATCCGCTGCCTCGCGGCACACTCGCGTATTGCGGGTTGCGTTCGTATATTTCGCTTGCCACATTAGTCAAGCAGTTCCTTTACACATCTGCGAATTCAATGACGAATGACCAGCGTACAAACATGCATACTACAATGAGAAATGTGAATTATATATTTCAAATGTAAACGCAAAAGATCTAACTGAATGTAATCGGGATAATATTTCTTAATTTTAATACAAAAACTCGAATATTAAACAAAGAATATTAGAAACCACTAACTTTATCGACTTTTTGCTACAGGCTGGTATTTATCATTTCTGTGTTCACTGATGTTCCCATAGTTTTGTTAACTTCCCGTACCTTTTATTCTGAAAATAACTTATCAACATTGTTATGATCTTTATTATTCATTTCTTAATACCTTTCTTCCTTCCTTCATTTCATTTTCACTCACTCATTCTTCCATGTTTTAGATAGAAGAGAGATTTAGATCACTAGCAAAGTAGCAATGCTATTTACTCATCAGCATTTTGAATGTCATACAATCCGATGCACTCTGATCAGTACTGCTTAATTTTCCCGAAGCGGGTTTATAGCGTCCGGGAATGTAGAAAAAGTGAAATGGCGCCTTTTAAGAAAGGTATAATAAAAATCTTACTTCCTTTTTATCAGCGCGGGTCCGAACGGAAACAAAGAAAAACGGACGTAGTAAACGGGCTCAAAATCGATCCGTTAGCATTGCGTGCAGATTGGGACTTTTTTTTGTAATTTTCTTGATATAAAATACTAACTCACTTTGGCATTATTAATGTATTTCCTTATTTTACCTACTATTTACGACTTTGAGAAAATCAAAATAGTGGCTGGCATGATTTCCAGTACCTCAAAATTTAAAATTATTTGCCAATTTTAAACATTCTATATATAATAGAAATTCACACAAATTTAGAAATACGCTTTATATTTTCAAAACAAGAATCGTTTGTATGGCGGCTGCAGGATAGGTCAACCACACAGCCAAAGTCACTTACATTGACTATGACGTGAATGTCGCGAAAAAAAATATTTTATAGTAAAAGATTCTAACGATGGCACTGTGTTTAATATTTCTGAACACATCAATGCCACACCACTTCCCAAACTATATAATATTTTCGGATATTCTAAAATCTGTTTGTCAGAAATTCAGCTCTTCATGCAAAATTGAGCGTATGAGTATTTATGACTATTACGATAATCCCAAAAATTTACTTTAACTAACGCGCCTCTGTTTATTGACGTCCACACCGCTCGTAGAGTAGGAAGAAATTAGAATTATACGAGTGCGAACGCGTTAAATGGGCGAAGCTAACGCGGTGGGTAGCTTTCCGGCCCATAAAGGGCAGCCCGCCGCGTCCGCTTGGGTATTTAAATGCTCCGTTTGATGGAAGCGCGCGCCGCGGACGTGCGTGGGAAGTGCGGCCGGAAGTTGATGTTTTGTGTGCTGTTGAGTGCGACGCGCGCACGCGTGTGTGTGTGTGTGCGGCGAGCACTCTCGTTTTGCGTTGCTTTGGACGGCACGGCGCTACGGTGCGGATGCCTCCTTTAGATTTGACTGTTTGCTTTCGGTGGCAGTGAAACGTTTCCTTCTTTCTTGCTTCCCATACAAACCAGCGGGAGAAGCGAAATTCGCCAGTTGCATGGCCGGAGTATAATGTACTACGTAAATTTTCATGTTAAATGGAGGTACTCTTTCTCTCTGCTTCAAATTATGAAACTTTTTCTTTTGAATATGGTGCTTTAACGTGTATCATTTTATCTATGTTCCTAGAATGAAAATGTGAAAAATTAAACTCAAGGCTTATCTGACAAAAAACAGCATATATTATTCTGTTTCTATAATGATTTCTGTTTATAAAAAGTGAGTTTCAAATTGCCATTTGAGCCATTTATAAAAAGCGATTTTATAAATGGCTCAACTCTGCAATGGGCAAATAATCATCATCAAAATGACTATGTCTATGTAGATTACGTAAACCTTAAAAACGTATTCATCTTTTAAAATTTAATTATAATATAAATAGTTGTGATGTATAAATGTAGAAGGAAATTCAAGAAAACAAAACTCCTGTCGGAATACCCTAAACTGAAAAAAATCGACCGAAATGTATTTCAGTATTTACATGTTTTAAAGGTTGTATCAGAATAGTATCGCTAAGCAATTTGTTCCTTAGTTTTACTTTCTCCCGTGTTAATTTGCTTATTAGGAATTTTGTTCGGAGAGCAGGCGTATGCGGTATTTGCGTCAATTACCGCGAACGACGGAATTAACCGCCGACACCTCATTACTCGCGTGAATATTGCGCGGCTGACTGGCGGCCCGAGGCACCCAGTTCGCTTCAAAGCCTCCACTCCGAGCGCCCAGAGAGCGGCGGCCAGTTACTCGCCTGCTAAGCCGGCGCGGCGCCGCATTGAACCCACACTTATCAGCCTCAGCGGCCTGTGTTTGAGCGGTCGCTGCGGCGTCACAGCTGGCGACCCCGCACGCCGCTAATTGTGGCCGTCGGCCTCTCTGGATTCACTTCCGCCACTGCCACTGCCACTGTCGTGTACCTTCCGAGCTCTCCCGGGTCCGCTTTCATCGCGAACCCAGCCGTCTCCGCGGCTTCGCCCCCTCCCCCAACCGCTGTCACCGCTGTTCCTTTGTCTTGTTGATGACCTAGACATCGACCACCCCATCTGCGTAGCCTCATTCCCGCAGCCTCACCACCCTCAGTTCTACCTGCAGCTTCGTCCCTTCTATACCAACATCGTCACCTCGCATCTACCACCGTCTGGTCACCACCTCCTCCACTTCTGCTCTCACTTCCAACACTTGTGTATCCCCACTGCTACTTCTACACATACCACCGCCACTTCGGCACAAACTCCCATCACCTCTACATCCACTTCCACCTCTTGTGTAACCACCGCCTCACCACACCCACCACTGCCACTTCTACGTCTACTACCATCTCAGCCAGTACCATGTTCACTTCACCGCTCTCTTCCGCGCCGCAGAACCTCACAACTCTCCCCGCGATGCTTCGTCCTCCCACCACTACCATGACCTCATCCCCACATTATCACTCTCAGCTAATTACACCCCTCCCGCTTCACGCTTCATCAACGCTGAGGCTTCGGCTGCGGCAGGCTTCTCCGCACATCTACCACGGCTTTGGCCGCCTTCTCTCTTCTGCTGTTGCCCGCGCCATCACAGCCGCTTCGCCGTCTCTCACACGCTGCCACCATCAGCCGTGAATCCGCCTACGCTTAGCGCACCTCCGCCGCCTTCACCATTGCGTTTCGCGTCTGATCGCAGATTACTTCACCGCCCTCTCCGCCGCATTCATTGCTCGAGGCCGTCACCTGTGTAATATTCGCCATCCTCACTGCTTCTCGCTTTATCATTTCCACCACGCTAATACTAATCCCGCTTGCGCCATTCCCGCCTTTGTTGCTCTTGTTTGGCTTAGGCTTCCCCGAATGGCCCTACCCACGTTCTCCCTCTCACCCTCATCGCTTCCTGTGAAGTCCCTTTTCCTCGTCCGCCTCGCCGCCACGCCGCGCGTCAACCGTGGCCGCCTGCGCCACTCGCCGGAGCCCTCGGCCGACCCTGCGCCCTGCAGCGAGAGCAGATGTTTGCCCTCCGACCCCTCGCCCTCGCCCTTCGCCCTTCGCCCCCGCGTCCGCGCCCTTTAGCCGCTTGACCCCCCACGGCGCCCTGTACCGTTTCTCTCGACACCTGCGCCATCTCGGCATCTGAGGATGCCGGCGCGCCACGTGGACGCCTTCCCTCCTCTCGCCCCGACGAGAGAGTCAGTGCCGTTCAACGCTCCGTCGGCCCTTTCGGTTTTGTTTCGC